CATAGGTCCTCACCGGGATAGATATGAACATGCAAGAACAAGAATGAATCGCTAACTCTTGACCAGCGGGGTCAGGACCTTTTGATGCAAAGGATGTGCAAAATCGTTATAACTCATCCTTACCATCTCAGCACCACGGCGGCAACCTCTAAACGCTAGAGTTCATGGGATAGTTGTCATCACTATCTTATATGGAGGTCTTAGACATGGGTTCAGATGACTGGCAATTGTCTTGGACATGGGGAAAAGGCCTTTTGGGTGCTGGCAAACACAACATGAGGTTCTACATCTTCAACCTAAAGCCGAAGTTTTTATGGTTTTGACTAAGAACCTTCTCTACAAACCAAGGCCATTAGCATCGGCCAAAAGCCTTATTTCTCCCTTCCAAACGATCACCCACCATGAACTACATTGAAGCATTATTCCTCGGTCTACTCTTGCTATCATCTTTCAATTTGGTAGTGAAGGAGTTCTAAAACAATGACGAGGTCTCAATGGCTTGAGTGCCAAGAAACCCCTCCAAGAGCATACACTTTGGTTTTTCGTGGCACTCTCTACTTTATTTACCCCATTTTATTACCTCTATTTCGTTTCTCTTTTCTTTTCCTTGCTTTCTTTTTATTTTCTTTTTGAGGGGGGGGGGGGGGGGTACTAGAGAGTAGAACACTTGACACTTGTACATTTAACAACCAATGCTCTCTTTTCAAGAACTCACTCCAACACTACATTTCATTTTTCATTCCTAGCAAGAACCGCACACAATCCTCCTATGTAGAACCTCAATGGAACTCGAAAGCGAGAGCTCCGAGACACAAGGACGACTCATGTAAAGACACAAAGAAAGGATTGGGATCGTTCTATCAACACCATAAAGCTCACAAGCAAGAAGCTCCTAAAATAAGAACGACCCTCTAAGTCACAAGGCTCAAAGGGTTTGACTAAGGGATAACACATTTAGGGACAATCAACATTTGGGCGCGAACTAATCCTATGCCTCCATCATACTCGCTAATGACAACTGTGATGCTACACACCATGGTGAGAGGGAACTATCACACCAGAAGAAAACGATCGGCTCAAAACTCATAGGCTACCTACCCGCCCAATCGTCTATTCCACATTCACAAACTCGATGCATGGCGATTGTAATCGAAGAGTAACCAAGTCAAGACATCCCATTCATTTAAGCACACATAAGAACTAATCCTTCGCACAATCCTAATGCCCTCTCAGTCATCTTAATAGGATGAACTCGACTATATACAACAATTCAAGAACGATGCCAAATATGCACGAGATTCACTCAAATAGGCCATTTTGAACAAGCATTGCTTGGAGCCCTCAAAATTTTCAAATTTTGGCATACATCAAGGCTCCAAGCATTCAAAACCACATCAAACATTCACACACACATGCATAATAGACTATTCCCCCATACTTATGCTTGACATTGCCCTCAATGGCGTAAAAGAAGGAGGTAGAAGGATATTACCGGTCAAGTTGTGAATGTTGGTGATCGGGAGCGGAGGGCGGGTGAGATTCGGAAGATCAAGGAGACAGAAAAACACCACCAAAATCTCTTCATTGATTGTCTTATTGAAAGGAAAAGAGATGCAAACCATTGATGGTTGGGTTGCCTCCCACCAAGCGCTTCTTTAATGTCATGAGCAGAACGGTTGTTCTTCAAGTTTTAGTCCACCCAAGAACCTCCTTGAAGTTGAGGTTCTCTTCGGTGAGGTGAAATCTCAAGTCACGAGCATTAGATGAATCCATGATTGAGGGCTCGTGAACTTGATCGACTTTGAGGCTCCACACACAAGACCTCTTCTTCTTACTTTCTTTCTTTGACCCATATGATGTAGTGCATCATCGATTTACCACCATCGCATCCACCAAGAGGGATTGACGATGGTGTGGCCTTGGTTTGGCAAAGAGCCGCAAATGGGTCCTTCTCCAAAAGCGTCGAGGTCGGGTGGAAAGCATTGGTAGCACTTGTAACTTGTGGATGCTTCATCCACCACGACCCCGTCTTCATCTTGGACCTCACTTGCTCCTTCTACTTCTTCTTCAATTTCCTCCCCTTGGGAACAATCGATATCTTCCCCCTCTTCAATGCTTTCTTCCTCCTCTTCAACCTCTTCTTCCTCCTTCCCATTCATGTCTTCAAGCACGCTTTGGAGGGAAACATGCCATTCAAGCTCATAAAAGGGATTCTCTTGATCCTCCACACTCGTGTCTTGGTCTTCAAGGTTTCTCTCGGGAAGAGGTAGATTATGAGAATCGTCAATGCAACCTTCTTATTCATCCTCACCACGGGAGCTCTCCGAGGTGAGTTCGTCTTGCTCCACACGGTTGTCATTGCTCGCCCTTTCAACCTCCTCGTTCTCCTCCAATAATGAGAGGCGATAGCTTGCACAAGCCCATTCCATCTATCTTGCACAAGCCCATTCCACCTTCTCCAAAAGTGTCAAGCCGGGAGGAGGGAGGGGTTGGAAATCCGTTTTGGAGCTTGTTCTCGTAAAATTCTCCGCAACAAGCTCCAACTTGGACTTTGCTTGGGTTTTGGGAGATCCAAGTTCGAGCACCCTTCATCGAAGCATCGAACAAACCGCTCCACCATGAGCTCCAATTCGCTCTTTGGCTCCGGTTGTGGAGTGGCACATGATCTTGATGATTGGCCCATGAAGGCTTCCATGGACAGCTCCAACTTGGATTTCTCCTCGGGATGTGGAGGGAAATCTTCATGATATGGGGAAGCCTCTTCATACCCCCAATGGTATGGTTGTTCTTCTTGGAAGGGGGGTTGGTAACAAAACCAGGATCCTAGGCTTCCCCCTTCTTGTTCACTCCATGAAGCTCCAGGGTACCCCCATTTGGGTGGTTGTGGATACCCCCACCTATTCTAGAAGCCATTGGGATCCATGATTCATAGCCTACACAAACAAAAACAAAAAAAACAAAACCAAACAAACACAAACCACTCTTAGAAGAGTGGGTAAACAAAACACAACACAAAACACAAACAATAAGACAAGATTTAAAATGCTAGAGTAACACTAAGCGACCTTTTCTAGATAACGGACCGTAAGGTCCCTGGCAACGACGGCAAAAACTTGAATCGCACGAAACTACACCACAAATTAATCCCAAATAGAGCCCAATTTTTAAACTCTAGTAGGGTGCAGTATAGAGCAAGTATTTAAATTGTCAACCCAGGCCGATCCATGTACCCCTACTTCAATCTCTTAGGTTGTTATCTAGCAAACAACTTTTGGGTTTAGAGGTAATGAAACTACAAACTAAACATGCAAGGAAAAGTAAATAAAGGAAAATTCTAACTAAGGGAGCTTCACCAAGTAGTTGTTCCCCACTAAATAGCTACCAAGACTCGTTGGATTGGAACGATTGCTTTGGGCAAGGTAACCGTGAACCGCAGAGGGATGCATATATGGTCGCAGACCACAATCTCAATTGCTAAACTGAGGTAAACATCGGATGACTTAATCGCGATTAACCAATTTGCTCTCTAAGCTAAGTTAAAGTGGCTAATTAGATTGCAAAGCACCAACATGCACAAACCTAAGGATGCTAAGCACAATTATGCACAATGAAACACCCTAACCCGGCCTGGTACTACTTTTACTAAAATGCCCTTGATAAATAAAATACTCAAATCTTAAATTGCAGCGGGAAAATTTTTCATAAATAAAATACTGAAAACACACACTTGTAGCTCAGAGCAAAGCCCTAAAACGTGGGGAAATTAAACTCGAACTTTAAAATCTCAATCTGATCTCTATTCTATACTCATAATCATAAATGTAAATAGCTAGATAATCTTTGACGTTGCTGCTACTGAAAATCTTAACTAGGCATCCTCCGTGACGCTTGCACTGCCCTTCTCTAGCTGGTTGCTCTCGAACTTTTCCTCTCGAACTCGCTGCTCTCTAAGTGCTCCTCTAGCTAGCTGCTACCGATCTTGTTCTCGCTTATTCCTTTACTAAGTCCTGGTGAGTGAGTTGAGGTCAGTCTACGCCCTTACGTTTTAATAATTCTAATACTTGAGTACTTTACTTAAACACTTAACTTTGACTAGTGGAAGTTGTTTGGACTTCCAATCTTAAAATCTTAACTCTTAAACTTTGAGGGAGTTGAAGTTACTCTCCTCTCTTAAAGCTCAAATCTTGACTTAAATACTTGACTGACACTGGGATCCCCCACTAGCTAGTCCGGTTGCCAGCTCATACGTATAAGAAGCCATCAAGGCTTTCCTTAAACTTAAACTTAGTTAGGGAAGTCGTAACGATTCATCCCCCTAACATCTTAAACTTATCGTGGTGGCTCTTCACCACGATTCTCAAGAGCATAACTGTTGCTCATCTTAAAAGTCTCAAGAGCATAACTGCTGCTCTGTCTCAAAGATCTCAAGAGTATAACTCCTTCTCTATCTGAAAATCTCATATGGCAACGGACTGGCGCAAGTGACTAAAAACACTTAAAACGACTTCACCTTCTTGAAGGTGAGTTACTTCTTAAAAAGAACTTTTTTTCTTAAACTTTAACAATACAATCATAACATAACGCTTTAAGGTAAATAGCACAAAATCACCTCAAATCATAGCTCAAGCAAAGCACAAATAATCAAACACAATCATGTAATATCAAACATGAATCAAATACGACACGCACATCACGTAAATCAATACTTAAAAATACTCAAAGCAAATACTTGAAAAACCGTAAGGCGTAGAATTTACCCCCTTTACACTCACCTGATTGAAGTCGATTGACTTGAGACTAAACCTCAGCTTCCTTTTTGTTCCACCTTTCCACTTTGATAGAAACACGCCCTGCTCTATTCACTATCACTCCTAGCCTCTTCTTCGATAAACCATCCCTGCCATCCAGTTCATCGCAATCAACCTTCTAGCATATGGCTTATATGAGCTTGGATTTCCCATAACATAAACCCTTCCATTTTATAACTCTTGTAAATCTAACTAATTGAGCATTCTTTATACATACTAGCCTGCTTTCAGTCCATTCCTCCATTCAAATTAAGTCACCCGATTCCTTATTAAGAGCTCACGTTAGTTCCCATGTGGATTATAGGTATATTTCTCAAATCCACTCTCTACTTCCAAGGTATTGGTTCAGTTAATCAAGCCATGCAAATCCCTCCATTCACTTACGCATGTGAAACAATAATTGGCAGGCATGGGGAGCAGCTCACTTACCTTATGGCTTATTCGCCATCAAAGCTTGAAGCTCAAAACTACCTTTGATCCAATTCATTCGGGAGGAACTCCGCGAGCTGCCGCTTCCCGCCGATTCATGCAAGATCTCCATCCAATGAATTTGGTCGATGGCAATTCTCACGTCCAAGCAAGCCTTCACCCACAACTCCACCACTCCTTCATCATGTAAGGTCACAGACTTGACTCCAGCAAGAACCAGGTTCTTTGCAATCTCACCGTCGAGTCCATTCATCCCGGATATGAGAACATTGGAAGCAAACAGCCTTCGCATAGTCTCGCGACCGTAGACAGCAAGCTGACGGCTGTGCAGATTCTCATCGATATCTTGTTGGTTTCCGTTTCCTAGCGTCATGATCGACGAGTCGCTGTTGCTGTTACTGCTAGCTTTGCCGGAGTTGCTACTGTTGGTGTTTACGTTGACGGCGGTAGTGGTTGCAGGAGATCCCGTGGCCGCAACAATGGTTTCGATTCGGTGCTTCTTGATGAGCGATTCAGTGGCGTTACAGATAGGTCTCCCTTCTCCTTCTACTGCAACCTCTCCTCCATCAGCTCTCTTCCGAGGAAGCATAAAGAAAGGTGGACGAGAAGAACGAGGAAGCAATCAGATCCATCGAGAAGGAGTGGGTAAGAAGAAGGCTTAGAGGTTTATCGGGTGATTGCTTTTAGGGTTTCTTTTTTTTATATAATACTGATAATAATAATAATAGTAATAATAGTTAGGATTTTGCTATGGTGACATGCATGTCACCGTGCCATGGACTTTTCGGTCGACCTAATTCTAAAGGCGGTCGACCGAATTGACTAATTTGGGCAGCACGAGAAAGCATTGCGGTCGACCTAATCCTAAAGGCGGTCAACCTCAATTCATAGCATAATTGATGAGTCCTTGTTATCATTATTTATGACTAGTTATGATGGTTTAAATCGTAATTTAGACGAGCAAAAGAACCACACAAATCGACATACATAAGGCAAAAAGACACGGGACATAGGTTGACTTTCTTGTATTCGCTCGACCTCGTACCGGATTATGTCGACCTCGACACCAACACTTGATCTTCATTTTACGTCAAATGATTGGATAAATTGATAGAACACTTATCGTCTATCTGGTCGACCTCTTTCTTTATCTGGTCGACCATGTTGTTAATGACTGCCATCAAGTGGTCGACCTATATACCTTTACGGTCGACCATGTTGTTTCTGACGCCAACGAAATGGCCGACCGAGGTTTATTCTGGTCAACCAAAAATAACAACTTAAACTAAGAACGGTCGACCAGGTGGTCTTCGAGGTCGACCGCAATGCTTTCTCGTGCTGCCCAAATTAGTCAATTCGGTCGACCGCCTTCAGGATTAGGTCGACCGAAAAGTCCATGTCCCGGTGACATGCATGTCATAGTAGGCATACCCTAATAGTTATTATTATTATTATTATTATTCCTAATCCCCGGTTGCAACTCTTCGAACATACTCGTTAAACCCACCGTTCACGTATTATGGTCGAACCGAAACTCAAAGGTCGGGGTGTTACATTTAATCCTTAGGTTGCTAAGCACCAACATGCATAAACCTAAGGATGCTAAGCACAAAACATGCACAACCCTTAGATGGTGTCTAAGCACAAGCATGCACAATCAACATGAATAATACCTCAATCATTGGATTAAACAATACCCATAAACAATCATTCAATCTAAATAAGTAATTACAAAGTATTAGTTAGAGATCTACAATACCCAAGAGAAAAGAGTGAGTTTCTAGAGAGAGAGTGGGATTACAAGTTTGAGCTCAAGATCTTCTTCTTCTTGTTCTTCTTCTATGCTTGAATCTCCTCCAAGCCTCCAATGATACTCCAATATCACTCTAGCACACACTCTCTCTCTCTCACTAGAAATCCCCTTTGGTGTTTTTGGGCAAACCCTAGAGAAAGAAACCAATTCTTCTCCAAAAACCAGCTCTCTTTTCTCTCTCCCCGCTGCTGTCTTCATATTTGCCCGAAAGCGATCAGCTAAACGAATAAGAAATGAGGGGTATAATGTGTACTTTTGGGCCCAAATCAGTCATTGAATTTTTTTCGACAAACCACCATCTGCTCTTGTGTGGCTTTCAACACTTTCATAATTTCGCCCTCATCGTGTTGTAGTTTCTCATCATGAGCCATCGTCTAACCAATTTTAAGAAAAAATTAAATCAAAATTCAACTTCAATTTTGTACAAATGGCCAACAACAGAGACGTGATCGATCTGAAATATTATTGGTTCGACCTTAAAGACATAAGTTGTTACTACCAGAACCAATTACGTCGACCTTTGCTATTCGCAGGTCGACCTATCTAGCAGAATAATACCAATTTACCATTTAAAAAAACATGTGTAATTCTACCGTGAACAATTGATAGGTCGACCAGACACCTTGACAGGCCGACCTTTTAAGCACAACAGAGTCTTACAAACAAAGCCAAAGTCGACATTCTGGATAAACAAACAAAACAAACACAAACGGTCAACCATTATATGAATTGGGTCAACCTATTGGGGTTGATCTTCTTTATCTCACAAGAACAGAAGTCCGAGTGTTGTGCGCTAAATTCAAGTTCTCGCAATTGTCAAATAGAGGCCGACCTGATTGAAAGAAAGGTCGACTGAATGTTCTTGTGCACGCAAACAAAATCAAATTCAACAGAGCAAATTACGAAATAGAAAAGAAGACGGTGATAGCTAAATTCGGTCGACCTAACTCGCTACGACTATCACAATAAAATCCTAACTAGGGCCCAAGCATAAACCTTAGATGGGTGCAATATAGGGCAAGTATGTTTAAATATCAACCAAGAACGACCCATGTTGACTCGCTCTGACTATCACAATAAAATCCCACCTTAGGCCCAAGTATAAACCTTAGATGGGTGCAATATTGGGCAAGTATGTTTATATATCAACCCCGGGCCAGCCCATGTACCTCTACTTCGACTGTTTGAAACATTATCTAGCGGATTAGTTTTTGCTAAAAAAAGGTCTAAAACTAAAGTACTTTGCAAAGTTAAAATGGATTTGACACTAATTGAGAACGCTTCATCCGGGTGTTGCTCCCCCTAGCTAACAATTACGACTTGAAGAATTGAACGACTGTGTGTGTTCAGGGGGTTATAAACCGCAGGGAAGTCGAACAAGTAACGGAGGCTACCCTCTTAACCTCTAGGTTGAGGAAATTGGATTTGATCCAAGCTGCTAATGCGACCCTCTCGACCTATCGACTAAGGAATGGTTAGACTTTGCCCTCAAATTACGGTTCAGACGCCCACCCACAACCAAACCCTAAGTGCTAATACAAATCAGGAGGTTTGCCCTTAATTAACCTAGAATAAGAGGCATAAAATGACCAAGGAAACCCATCTCTAATAGAGCCACTTAGGTTAAGGAGGGTTCTATCTAAACTAGCCTAGGAGGCTTTGAATGCCCAAGGAAACCCAACTCAAATTGAGTCTCTTTGGATAAAGGAGGTTTCCTCTCTAAACTAGCCTAGGAGTTATGCAATGCCCAAGAACACCCATCTCTAATTGAGCCTCTCTTAACCTAAGGAGGTCCCCTCTCTAAGCTAGGTCAACAAAGCACACACCATCATCATGACAAATACCTCCAAATTCACATTAAAACACAACCATACACAAATCATTCAATTCTTTCAAGCATTCACATAATTGTATCTAGGGTTTACAAACACCCAAGTGAAAGAAGGGGCAACTCCATGCTAGGATAAGGGAAAACACAAGAGAGGGAAGAGAAAACAATCAAGAAGATGAAAGCCTTGCTCCTTGTATTGAAGCGATCCTCCTTTGGGGGGAGGAATTCCCAAATCCTTGCTTGGAGATGAAACCCTAGCTTCTCCTCTTCTTTGGTTCGTCACTTTCTCACTCTAAAATATGAAGAAGGAGTTTCTCACACTAGGTCTCTCTCCCCCTTCTTCCTTTCAGCTGGCTCTTTAAACCAAGATCGTGCCCAGTTCACGGCCGTGAACATCGAAATGCTTCCGTGAATGCGGAGTCTGAACCAAAATGCACCGCTTCACAACCTTGGGTTCACGGTCTGTGGCTTATGTTCACCATCTTAGCGACTGTGAACAGCCCTGGCGTCAGTAACCTCAAAACCCTCTCTGGACGCTCCTTTTTTCACGGATTATGGCTCTAGTTCATGGTCCCGTAAGACCTTGAACTCAAATGGCAGATCGTGTACTGCGACAGTCTGCTCTTCTTCGCCTGGTCTTTGCTCCTTTCCTTCCAACTTTCGACTCTGGGGCTGGTTTCACCTATTAGGATCTGAAACACACTGAAACCTCGCGTAAAACCACCCCTTTTGGAGTTCAATTGCAACAAGCATCAAAGTGAAACAGGGGTAAAAAGTGTACAATTAGTCCCGACTCACTCCCCCACACTTAGACGTTTGCTTGTCCCCAAGCAAACCATGTCACATAAGGTTATCTCTCAACCTAACAAAAATGCTTATGGGACAAATCAAAGGGCACAAAGTGGCGAATCTCAATGGCTATTGGCAATTAACACATGGACCGTTACAAGCAACACCGACATCCACCACAAACGACATTCGAGGTCACCAAAAACGGGCAAACGAAAAGTTCTCACTTTGTTCATGAATCAATGCAAGTCTCAACAAGATCCCTTATCAACCACAACTAACCATGCATAACATTCAAGTCCAAGGAACAAACGAGTGGGCATTAAAGGTCATCATCGGGGTATGATATGTCATTCAAAGCAAGAATGAATCACTCACTCTCTTGACTAGTGGGGTCGAGACCTTTTTGGTGCTAAGAATATGCACAATCATCAACACTCGGCCCTACCATCTCTTCACCATGGCGGCAACCTCTAAATGTTAGATTTTACGGGACGGTTGTCATCACTAGCTTTTTCGGAGGTCTTAGACACAGGTTCAAATGACTGGCAATTGTCTGGTACATGGAGAAAAAGCTTTTTGGGTGGTGGCAAACACATCATGAGGTCCTACATCTTCACCCTAAAACCGAAGGTTCTATGGTTTCTATTACGAACCTTCGCTAGAAACATTGGCCACTAGCATCGGCCAAAAACCTTGCTTCTCCCTTCCAAACTATCACCCATCATGACCTACCTTTAAGCACTCTTCCTCGGTCTACTCTTGCTATCACATTTCGACTTGGTAGTGAAGGAGTTCTAAAACAATGTGGGGTTTTCAATGGCTTGCGTGCCAAGAAACCTCACTAAGAGCATACTCTTTGAATCTTTTGTGGCACTCTCTACTTTATGTACCTCGTTTTATTACCTCTTTTTCGATTATTTTTTCGTTCTACTTTCCTTTTCTTTATTTTTCTCTTATCTTTTCTTTTTTTTGGGGGTGGGTGGGTACTAGAGAGTTAAACAATTGCCACTTTACATTTAACGACCAATGCTCTCTTTTAAGAACTCACTGCAACACTACTATTTTCTCTTTCACTCCTAGCAAGAACCGCACACAATCCTCCTATGTAGAACCTTAATGGAACTCAAAAGCTAGAGCTCCGGGACACTAGGACTATTCACGTATAGACACGAAGAAAGGATGGGGGGGGGGGGGGGGGGTGGTTCTATCAAACACCATTAAGCTCACAAGTAAAAAG